ACCTAAACACCAAATGAATCAGAAATGGAAAAGATACACATTTTTTTTTTCAAGGGAAGGTATTTGATTTTCTTACTCAACTGCTTTCTAATTAATTTGGTTTTTTTCTTTTTCTTTTTAAATATTTTTTTAGAAATCCTACCCATTTTTTAAAATAAATAACTCAAGGTAGCAAGCATATATAATATTCCTTCCTTCTAATTTCCCCACAACAACTACCCTACAATTCATAGTCCAACTAAGAGAGACTGATTAACCCAAAGTCACCCAGCCAGCTTTCATGCCTAAAACAGGACTAGAACTCACAGCCTCCTGATGATTGGCCCAAAGTCACCCAAACAGCTTTCATGTCTAAGGTAGGATTAGAACTCATAGTCTCCTGATTTCTACCCTGGTGCCTTAGCCACTAAACCAAACTATTATTATCTCATTAAAACTGGCTTAAGAAACACAAAGGGAGGGGAGGGGAGAGGAGAGGAGGGAATGGAATGGAATGGAATCATGGTCATGTGAGATCCTCACTTAACAACCTGTACTAACACTTCATGTGATCTTGATTCTATCTGTTTGTTAATGCAGCCTAGGACTGTGTTAGCTTTTTTGGTGGCTGTAATATACTTTTGGCCCAAATATTAAAGAAATTCTCTCAAGAAAAGAATTTTTTTTAAAGGCCTGAGTTTGTCCATAAGTAAAACAAAAACTAATTTTAAAACAAAATTATCATAGGTGGGAAGGAGGATTCTCTAATCACTTTGAAAAAAAATCCATTGGTTGGAGTAGAGCAGTGGTTCTCAACCTTTTTAATGCCGCAACCCCAACCGGGAATAAGTAGAGGACTACCCAACTGGTCGTAAATTGAGGACTATCCAACCGGTCATAAATCGAGGACTTTCCTTGCCCGGGAGCACCGCGCATGCGTGGTGCCACCCCCTGCACCGGCCAAGGCGTAGCTGGCAAGCAGCAGAGACGGAGCAGGCCGACCACCTGTTGGGCCACCAGCTGGCCCAGCCCAAGGGAGGTAAGGCACCCGCCGGGCCTCCCGCGCGCCAGCAACCCTCCCTGCACCCACCGGCCTCCCACCTCCCATCCCTAGCCCTCTTTTACTTACATTTTTAATAGTTGCTCAGCAGGGAGGGGTGGAAACTTCCAGACAGCTCGCCTTCGCTGCAGACAACTTGCAGCACCATTTGCAGAATGGGACTTTTGGTGGGCTCAGCGGGGCAGGGACAGCCTGGACAATTCCTATTGGCTTTTGAAAGCCAATAGAATTAGACTCTATTCAAGAGAGTCTATTCTATTGGCTTTCAAAAGCCAATAGAATAAAAGGGAGTAGCACAGCCAAGGAAAAGGGGAAAAAAATGGTAGACTGCGTTGTTTGGTGACCCCCGTGAAATGGTCGTTCGACCCTAAATGGGGTCGTGACCCACAGGTTGAGAACCGCTGGAGTAGAGCATACCCCGATTATTCTATTTAACTACAAAATATTATTTTCAGGTAGGGTGTCTAAGCCACAAAAATATTCTGCATTGACAGTCATGGAGTATTCTGCGTATGCAAAAATTGTCTGGCAATATCACAGGATTGTTCAATCTAATAATTTTCACTTTATACTCTATTTTAAATATTAACACTTTATATTTAGTTTTATGCAGTTATAAAAATATTATCTACTCTAAATTGTCAAAGTGAAAAATGGAATGTTTCCCCCAACTGACAACACATCTGTTTGTCCAGGTAACCTTCATACTACCAACATTGCCAACTGTCTCTATAATTTTAAGTAATGTGTTTTTGTTATTATTTTCAGATTTTCTGTTGATAGATGTTACTATATTCTCTATTACTTTTCATCATGCTGAGAACATCTGTTTTCATGAGAGTGGGATATGAATTCTAAAGATAAAATAAAGTGAGGCATTGAAGAGTACAATAGAAAAAGTTCTTTGGTATAGCAGATGGCAGTATAAACAACCTGGTGTTTCCCAGATGTTTTCCAATTTAATTCTCATAGTCCAAGCCAACAAGGCCAATGGCATGGATTTGTGGAAACTGTAGTTCAAAATATCTGGAGGCCTCACATTGCCTGTCCTTTATATTTAATATAAAGTAAAACTGATTTCAACTTTATAAAAGTATGGGTGTGGAAAAGAGTGGAAATTACATGGTTGGTTTTCTTACATTTTCTGTATAATATCCAAAAAGTAAACTTCTTGAGCAGCTCGCTAACTAAGATACAATTGAAATGCTGTACCTAAAATCATGCATTTTGCTACAGCATAAATGCCCTTTCCTATCTCAGCTATTGGATGGGATGTGGACGTAAATAGAGAAATCATAAGTAATCCATGCTTGGAGAGATTGAACTCACTGTAGATGTCTTGTTAAGCAGACTGAACTAACACCAGATTTTCTTGAACACTTGTTAGAATTTCAGAAACTAACAAAAATAAGTACATTCACTGCTGGACAAAGGAAGAATTATAACTTATTTTCCTACATATTTTATGCTTATATTTATATTTAATTAATTCCTTTCACTGGGTTTTTTTGAATCCAGTTATTAACCTGTCATTTATGTCTCCCTAATACTTTATTAAGTTGTTTAGCTATAGTTAGATGAAAGCTAGTCAGATATTTGAGCCAAAAGCCATGCAACTGATCATTTCCAGGAGATGTCCGGTTTCTAAACCTTTTCATTCATTTTTTAAACTTTCCTGATGTTATTATTAGTTCTTCCATTAATTTTTACTAAATTGGCCTTCAAATTCTTTATCCAGTCAGCATTTTTTTATAGTTTTTTTTGAGGTTCCCAAAGATCTTTCCAAAACTGTATTGTTTTCTTTTTGTTTGGTTTTCCATTTTCAGAATATCTGCTGTATTGCTATTTATACTTCAGTAGAATTGCCTCTGGCCTGATTGAAGTTGTTATTCTGCTTAAATCAGATGATTCGGACCTCATGGCGTTCAGTTTTCCAACTATTGCTATTTTATGTTGCTTTATGATTTCCAAAGCTTCTTCAATTTTTCTGGTGCTAAGCTAATCTTTTTTTTTTAATTAGGCTTGTCCTGATCCTTCCATTCTTCACTTTTTGCTTTTATGTTCTTGAAATTACTCACATCTGATCTTAAGTTCTTTATTTTGGCCTCCAGTCTGATCTTCCACTTGGGATTAAATATGTTTTTTTTATTTTTTGATACCTTGTTCTTCTGTATCTACCACTATTGTACTGCAGGCGAGGCATCGCTCAACTCCAGAACAGGTCTGAGAAGCTCAAAACAGTCAAATCAAACATAATATGAATTATAAAAAAGCCTCCAAGAAAAATAAAGAGTAAGTGTAAATGCACACATTCAGTGATATATAATGTTGTGGAAAAAGCAGTGAATATTAGGAATTTGTACCTAGTTAATATCTATCTTTCTTTCAAAGCTTCAATTTTACTACAGCTATGTTATATTACAGTAGATGCCATCACACTTTAAAACATAAATTGCCTTAGTATACACATCATAGTTGATAGATCTATTTAAATGCTGATGACAATAGCCAGCCCAGAAATATCGTTCTTTGAGAAATGAATCATATGTTTTATCAGATGAAAGCAAGAAAATGTTCTTCTCATCCTATATCTTCTTATAAAAGCATATCACGTGATTTTCTTGCCTTTGCAGAGTCTAGATTTGACAAACTCAAAACTGGGACAAATGTCCTCTAAATTCTTGCAATAAAAGGACACATGTGTCTACTTTAAAATACATCGACTTGCATTTGGGTTTGATTGACGTATCTCCCAGCTCTTCCTGTTCTTCCTATTTCAGGCACTTCTGAGTTGGGATTATCTACAAATGTACAGATGTATTAGCACTGTCATCTGTGAAATGCTGGAAAGTATACATTCCTCAACACCTGATTCTCTTCCTCAGATTTCGAAATAGGTTTGCCTTGAACAAGATAAAAGGAAAGATGGTGCGTGTGTGTGTGTGCATGCGTGTGTGTGTGTGTGTGTGTGTGTGTGCGTGTGTGTGTGCGTGAGCACGTATGCATGTTTGTGTGCATGTTGGGACTGAAATTTGGCCAAAGATCATGCCAACTAGCTCTGGAATGGCATGTTGACTAGGACTAGCTATGGATAATGGAGGAATGTGTTGGGTTAAGAATTCCAAAACCGAATCCCATTCTCTGCATTACAGCACAGACTTAAGGTTTCTTGGTAACTGATTTAGTGTTATTATTTATTTAAGCATTTATATATCACTTCATATGGAATATCTCAGAGCAGTTCAACAATATAATGTGTAAGCAATAATAGAACAATGAGTTAAAATAATAAATATTACTGAAAATGCACGGAAAAAAGGAAAAAAATATCTATGGAGAGAGAGATGTGGCACTCATACACAGAAACCTGGCTGAAAAGTGCACTTACATGACAGCAGAGATACAGATGCTTTCAGAGGTAAAACTTGAGTGGAAACAGCATACCCTGCAACTGGAAAATATCTTTTCAGTTGTAATAATTGGAATGTTGCTGAACTCTTTTTTATTTAAACATTTTATTTCCAACCTTGGGTTTAGCAATGTATATATAAAATTACCGCAATCATATCAGTTCAATGCATCCCCTCTAAAATTAACAGCACTGTTTGTCAGGATGTGCTCTTGTATCTTCCCTGCAGTCATTCCAAAAAATGCAACTTGTTTTGTTACGTGTTTGTCCTCATCAAACAACATAAAAATAGTTTTTTTTTCTGAACTAGATTGATTCAATTAGATTAACAAGGGTGTATAGAATTTAGTTGTGGGTTCCTAATAGTGTATGCAATGTTATTGTTTGTTTGTTAAACAAATTTATATAGCTATCCAACTCACACATAGGTGACTCGGGGCAGCTTACAAGATTTCATGTAATACGTAATGGGTCAGATCTTCCCTCTGTCAGTTATTACAAATGCATTAGTGGTGTGTAATTGGTAATCCTTTCTATCTTCCATCCAAATAGGTGACTGCATTGCTTGAAAGCAAAGTTCCGTGAAGGTTTGTCTCAGAGAATGGGCTGAAAATTAAATCCAGTGAGATGGACACTTGGAATTAATCTTTGAAGATCTAGAAATGAAGAAGTAATCTGAAAAACAGCGGATTGTTCAGTTTCAGACCTGCATAGCACAGGAAAATCAAGTTACTACTATATTTGCAGGGTCTGACAAACCTTCTGCAGAAAATAAACTACAAGCATCTGACACATGGAGGAAATTATCCCCATTCCATGCCAACTGTTTAATAAAACACAACAAGGGACAGTTGCTTTTTTGGCGATGTGAACAATTCTATTAATATATGTATGGTATAAATATTATACTGGGAGCAGATCACAAGCTACAAAGTAACCTCTACAGACAATTTTGCAGTGAGATGTTAACAAATCTCAACATTTAACAGAAAACGAATCCAAACGGAGAAAATGCTTCTAATAAATCGAAGCAAAGAGGAGGAGGAAAGGTAACGAATGGCTACAAAACTATTAATGGTAAAGAGGCTCACGTCATTCATTAAAGCCAAAGATTTTTTGGGGAAAATTATATAGCAATAAGGATTATGTTCCAATCAGCAGATACATTATATTGGTCTTAGGAAAGAAAAGTGGTCTGTTTAAAAAGTGAGGACTATGATAAATTTAATAAATAAATAAAATAAACATATTCATTCATTTATAAATAAATAAAGTCATAATGCAGTAATGTATTCTTTTAGACACAAACGGGATGTCATAGAGCAGATGTGTACCACCTTGGCAACTTTAAGACCTGTGGACTTCAACTCCCATGCAGGTTGGGGAATTCTGGGAGTTGAAGTCCACAGATCTTAAAGTTGCCAAGATTGGATACGCTTATGTTAGAAAGAGATCACTTTCCCAGATAGCAGGCAATATGGTCATCATTTTTTAAAAAAGAAATAAGGATTAAAATAGTTAAAATCTTTGGAGATCATCAAATACCATGCAAACACTTAGAAATCTCAGAAGGCTTGGCCATTTTGTCAGATTTAAGTCACTTAAATTTTGATTTATATCTGACTTTGGAGTTAATTGGAGTGCAAATTAAGGCTGCCAGCTCACTGATTTCCACTCTAAACTATTATAAAGAAATTAAGGCAAAGCTGAACAAAAGTTTGTTTGAAAAAGACTGGTGATCAAACAAGAGGCTGGTGATCAAACAAGAGACTGATGATCAAACACCACTAGTGGCTTTGTGAAGACCATTTGTAGCTGGAATTCACAGCAAATCAACAGGCTTGCAATAAGGTACATATGTTTATTTTATTTACTCATATTTATATTCATTTATTCATTGATTAAATATTCATTTATTCATATGTTCAAGCAATCTAGCTGAAAAAAGCAGCATCGCATAGCTTTCCAGGGTTTTTCCCCCTTATTCGTTCACTTAAAAGAGTAGGAAACAATTTCAGACAGCCTTTATCAGAACAGTTAAATGGCTTCATATCCTTTGTTCCAAATCTCCCTAATTGTTTTACATTCTTTTACAGATGCAGCCTGACTCAAAAGTACAGAACAGTTTTTTTTCCTGCTAACTTGGATCCTAAGGTCAGTTTTAAATAAATATATGTTAATATACAGGTAGTCCTTGACATACAGCCATTTGTTTAGTAACCATTTGAAGCTACAATTCTGTTTTTCACACTTATGGCTGTTGCAGCATCTCCATGGTCATGTGATCAAAATTCGGTTGCTTGGCAACTGGCATGTATTTATGATGGTTGCTAAGTCCCGGGATCATGTGATCACTTTCTACAACCTTCTGAGGAGCAAAGTCAATGGGGAAGCCAGATTCACTTAACAATCATGTGGCTAACTTAACAACTGCAGTAATTTATTTAACGATTGTGGCAGGAAAGGTTGTAAAAAATGGGGTAAAATTCATTTAACAACTGTCTTGCTTAGCAATGGAAATTTTGAGCTCATTGTGGTCGTTATGTCAGGGTGTACCTGTATTTGCATACTTAGTCTGTATACCTTCTATGTTTCGAAATATAAGAACTACTCCTATCTAAAAAGTTTAAGAAAGGGCTTCAAAATAGACTGCCCAGCATTCATTCATCAGTCAAACCCTTCATTCATCAGTCAAATCCTCTTCTAGGTTTTCTCTATTAAGTAATTCTTTCATTTTTTTTTCTTCCTTTAACTTCAGTTTCACCAAGAACTTTCTACAGTAAAAAAAAAATGTCATAGACAATTCTTTTGAACAATCTTCCATGAACTAATCCAACTTTTAGTTTATCAGTCTATGTGGAGATTTGAGCACTTCAACTTCAGCAGTGCTTTTTTTGTAAAAAAAAAAAAAAAAAAGTGCTGGAACTCACACATGTCATACAACCTGCCTTGCCATCCCAAAAAAGGTGCCGGAACTCCGTTCTGGGCATTCTATGACAAAAAAAGCCCTGAACGTCAGTATCCAGATATTGTCTAAATGTGGTGGAATGTGATCCAGAGTCACAGGGAGGGGCTCTTTCCCAGAGGGCATAGAGACAATGAAGTTTGGAGTCTTTGGTATGCAGGAAAACGATGGAGGCAACCCTCCCTAGCAATTCACAGGGAATATCTAACAGTCATGCAAATAGTTGCTTAATCTGGCAAGATTTCTGTCTTTAGGTGAACAACAGTAAACTACTCTGAAGTAATTCCTTGTGCCGTTCTTGATTCCTTGGACTTGACACTAAATCTATTTCAACCATTTTGGCTGACAGACAACAGCCCTACGGATAGTACTCAGCTTATAACCATTTGTTTAGCGTCTGTTTGATATTATGACAATGCTGAATAAAAGGAGTTATGACATCTACCCAAAGTTATGGCTGTTTCAATACCCCCATGGTTATGTGATCAAAATTGGGGTGCCTAGCAGCAATCTTGCTCTTACAATCATGAATGTGCTGTAATTCCCCCCATCTGCCTTTCTCCCCCATCTACGTTGCCCTGCACAGCAGTGTTCAACAGTGTTCTGTGCTCTGAGGAAGATGAGAGCTGCACCAGAGGTTAAACCATACTGGATAGATTCACCAGAGAAGATAGATTAAGAGAGTCTTTCCTATTAGAGGTATGGGGAGACCAATTATTTTTCAATTAAATGTTTTAGAGAAAGGATATAAGGGAGATAAAAAAACATGCAAAAATATAAAAGATTAAAATACAAAAAGGGAAACAAGGGATCTAGAATGTCGGGGGAATTTCAGTTTTCCAATATATCATTAAGTACTTATGAATTATAAAATATGTTATATCCCTTTTATAAAAATAAGCATCACTATTCAACTTTAAGCCATGAATATGTATTAAGAACCAGGTTCAGCATTGTAGAAATCATTGGCTGGTTTTGTAAGCTACAATAAATAGGATCACTATTGAAAATCTTCATGGGTTATCCCATGAAATTAAAATATAGATTCTATACTCAAATGTTAGGGGATTGGAGGCTAAAAGATAAAAAGAAAGGTTGCTGGAATTGGGTATGTCTGGTTTAATGAAAAGAAGGACTAGGGGTGACATGATAGCAGTGTTCCAATATCTCAGGGTTTGCCACAAATAAGAAGCAGTCAAACTATTCTCCAAAGCACCTGAAGGCAGCACAAGAAGCAACAGATGGAACCTAATCAAGCAGAGAAGCAACCTAGAACTAAGGAGAAATGACTTACCTCCAGAAGTTGTGAATGCTCCAACACTGGAAGTTTTTAAGAAGAGATTGGACAACCATTTGTCTGAAATGATATAGGGTTTCCTGCCTGAGCAGGGGGTTGGACTAGAACAGGGATGTCAAACTGCCGCTCCCGCAGGCCAGATGCATCATCGCAAAACCGCACCCACCCCATTGCCGGCAATGGTAAAAAAGTTCTGATACATAGCGTGATGTCGCGAGTTTGACATGTCTGGACTAGAAGACCTCCAAGGTACCTTCCAACTGTGTTATTCTGTTAAATTTTGGATGAGGCACAAATCCATATATTCAGTTACAGTATACTCCAAGGATCGTTTTTCAGTGAGAACTGAATTCTACATCAGATTTACTGGTAAGGTACAAAATTATTCTATACATCAAAACAAACTTCCCAGCTTAGTTAACCATTTTTCCAAGGTGGAAATCAAATAGACTTTCCAATGGGAATATATAATATCATTGCGTCAAAAACTGACATCAAATAGACTTGCAAGATTGATATTAGACTTGCAAAGTAGTCATGCAAAAAGGACAACCAGAAATGCCAGTTCTACCTTTAGAGGTTATATTAACAGAATCATGCAAGTCTAAAGTGTCCCCCACATCCCTCACTTTTACCCTCCCAAAAAGTAGGGAGGGCAAAATAGCAAATACAAATATAATAGACCATAATAATAAATATCCTAAAAAAAACTAGAAATCCGATAGTTGTAGGAAATAAAAATGTCACTCTCAACAATGGGGCTATCTAGATAGGTCTCTGACTCCAGGGAAACCCAGTATTAAACCCAACACCAGAAATGGCCTAATGAAATCCAACTGAGTTCAATCCTTTATTTGCTTAAACCTAATCGACAGAATCTTGCCAACTTCAAGTTATAACCTTCTAACGTACTAGATATACTCTGAGAGAGTCTTGTGTGTATTCAAGCTATACTGAACCTCTTTCCTGCTCCCTCATCCAGCTCAGGTCTGCGCAGTCTCTTGATCCAGGTCTCTTTCAGGGAAAACTCTGTGTTGCCCAAAGTCTCCCTCACTACTTCTTCAGGTGCTCTTTCCATCACACTTGGATCTGGTCTTCTTAAGGGCTTTTTGGAAAATCATCACAATATCAAAAAGATGCTGAGAGTCTAGAAAGAGTGTGGAGCAGAGCAACTAAAATGATAAGAGGTCTAGAGGCTAAATTGTATGACCATCGGTTAAGGAAACCAGCTATGTCTAGCCTATCAAAGAAAAAGATTAGGGGTGACATGATAGTACTTGAGGGGCAGTCATACAGATGAAGGGGTTGACTTGTTCTCAAAAACATCTAAGAAGCAATGCATAGAAGCTTTTTAAAGTGAGATCCCATCTGGAATTAAGAAATTTCCTGACAGTGAGAGCAATTAATCAATGGAATAACCTTGCCTGCTGGAGTGGTGGGTGCTCCATCACTGGAGGGTTTTAAAAAAAAATTGGATGTCCATTTGTTCAGGATGGTATAACAACTCCTGCTTTGGGCAGGAAGTTGGACTAGAAGACCTCTAAGGTCCCTTCCACCCCTATGATTCTAGGTGATGAGAAAGCAAGTACTGTTAATCACAGCCATATTATATATAAGGAAGAGAGGAAGGAATTGTATTCAGTTTTAATCAAACAGAGAAGCTACACTGTGGGGCTCTTGGTACTCTCTGAGCTTGGTTGTTTTCTTCCAGATATTTCATTAACCAACTAAGTAACATTAGCAGTACATGTTTATAGCCACTTACTCTTCTCTTACACTCCCTTCTCCCAGGCTGCAAATGAACAAAGGAGCTGGCAGTGATTGGAAAAGAAAAGAAAGAAAATCAGAAAAATACGAGGAATGTAGAAAACTAAAAGAGGAAATCCAGAGGTTCCAAAAAGAAATAGATAAAATGAAAATTGTTAGGATTTTACATGATAGTAAGAAATTAGAACAGTGCTAGTAAGTTATATTATGCATTAAAAGTTAAATTTTGATTGTGCTTCATCAATTTCTTTTTACAGGAAGTAGCAAAGGAGAGCCAAAAGCTGAAAGAACTGCATAGACTTGGACCTGGTCACCTAACCAGTTCTTAAGGACTTTTTGGAAAATCAAAAGGAATGGAGCCAACTTAATTTTGGAAAGATTACTCCATAAGGCAGTTGCCACAACAGAGAAAGCATGTGTCCTGGGATCCATCAATTGTAGATCCGTAGCTGAAGTTATCCACAGCACACCTTCTCTGTGAGATTGATGCGGCTGGGCTAGTATAAACGGGAAAAGGCGGTCCCTCAAGTAGCCCAGTTCCATGCCATGAATTTGTGCTTTCTGTTTAAATGCTCAATAAACACTAAATGTAATAGATTTTCTGCTGTGGACAGAAAAAAGGCAAGGAAATGTACACTATGTCCAAACAATAATGGTCATGCAACATATTGTAATAGTGTATGTATACCAACAGCTCCAAAGAGAAATTAAAGGGCTATTGCTGAATAGTTAAGTTTAAATACTGGGGGCTGTTGCTGAATAGTTAAGTTTAAATACTGGGTTTATCTTGAAGTTTGGTGGAGCAAGAGCCATATTGAAATTTACTCTGCCAAGCACAGAAAACTCTCCAGTTCTGCTCATTCACCACTGCAGCTTTTTTTCACTCTCACTTGTGCATATTTCTCCAGATGTCTCCCTGCTTTCTTCAGTGGCACTAATATTTCTGTGGCATTTTTCTTGTTAGCTCATCCCGATTGCACCAAACGCATAAGCAGGATTTTGTACTTACATTTCTACCAATATTGAAAAACAGATAAAACTCTGAGCAGCATTCATTCAGCCATTCAGTTTGCTTTGCTTCTCCTTTGTGAGGCCCTGCCTCATAATGGTGCTGACAGGGGCATGAGCTCACAAAGGAGAAGTAAATAAAACTTTTTGGTGGGCTGAGTGAAAACTATTCATTCAAGAGTTTTATCTTGTGTGGGTGCTTACTTAGTTAGCTTCATTTGATTTTATTTGGTTGTTTATATTTTCTTGTGTTTTTATCTGTATTTATGTAGCTTAGGTTTAGTTTATTTTACAGTATTTATTTATTCATTTATTTACTCAATATATCTATTTACACATACTATTTATTTGTTTATTTCTTTATCATGTTTCATATATTTGTTGAATTAGTTTAGTTAGGATTAGTTTAATTTAGCTTAGTTTCGCACATTTCATTCATAATGGAGACATTCCTATAATACGCAGAGAAACTCCTGTTTGAGGTAAGACATCTTTATTTATTCATTTATTTACTCAATATATCTATTTACACATACTATTTATTTGTTTATTTCCTTATCATATTTCATATATTTGTTGAATTAGTTTAGTTAGGATTAGTTTAGCTTAGCTTAGTTTCGCACATTCCATTCATAATGGAGACATTCCTGTACTATGCAGGGAAACTCCTGTTTGAGATAAGACATCTTTGGTTTTATTTATTTGCTTGTCAATTTGCATGTCTGACTAGGATTTAGGATTCAAAGAGGTAATATGACAGATAACATGATATAAGTAATGATAATGATGAAATAAAACAGGAATATTTTGGTTCAAAAGTTATTCTAATCTAAAAATTATTTTAAAATGTTTTTTGCTTGTTCCTAGATTCTTTTATCTAGGAACAAGCAAAAACATTTTAGAATAATTTTTAGAATAACTTTTGAACCAAAATATTTTAAAAATATTGCACATCTTCTTTCAGGCACTTTCTTCGTGAACTGTGTTAATATCTTCAGTTTAAACGCATTCTCAGGATAGCCTTCCAAAAAGGCAGGGAAACGTGGTTCTGTGGCTTTGCTTGGGGTGCAGAGAAAAGCACAGTCGTGGGGCTGGCTAGAACCCTCAAATCCCTAATTCCTAATTAAGTCAGGAGAATCAGAGTCACCTTCCTCTAAACTAGAGATAAGAACATCCTAGCCTCTGACCATGTTGTCATCAACACTATCTTGGAGGCAGTGTCAATTGTTCCTACAGCAAGGTTTAACATGGAAGAAGAGGGCCATTATAGCATCACTTTAACAGCAGAGCAGCTAAAGGGCAACTTCAGCTGTCCCTGCAGCTGGCTAGAGGCAAAATTCAGATGATGTCATGAGGTTTGTTGCTTAACAATGGTTAACAGTGGTCAGTGAGAGTCTTCATGCTATTTTTAATAAATATGGATACAATTTGGCAAATTTTGTAGCCTATGGAAATCTGCTGTTTTTTTTCTCACACCAACTTTAACACAAACACACACCCCAAATAAATAAAATCCGAAGCAAATATCCCAAGCTATCCAAAACAAATATAACCCCCCCAAACACATCCTAGATCTGACCAACCACTGCCTATCCAACACATACTTCATCTATAACGGACAAAAATACAAACAAATAGAAGGAGCACCCATGGGATCACCCCTCTCACCTGTCATTGCAAACCTCTACGTGGAACACTTTGAAACCCAAGCTCTAGAAAAATCTGATCACAAACCCAAAATCTGGCTCAGATGCGTAGATGACACCTTCATAATCTGGCCACATGGGAAAGTAAAACTGGACAACTTCCTCACACACCTCAACAGCCTACACCCCAAAATACAGTTCACCATGGAAACAGAAGCTAATCAACTTCCCTTCCTGGATGTCTTAGTCTACAAGAAATCCAATGGCTCCCTAGGACACACCATCTACCAGAAGAAAACACACACACAAACCGCTATCTGCACGCTCTCTCACATCACCACCCAGCACAGATCAACTCCGTAGCCAAGACACTCATCTCCAGAACAAAACGCTTAGCTGATGAACAACACCTAAAAACCGAACTACACACTCTCACTAATGTACTAACATCCAATGGATTCTAAAGAAATAAGATTACCAACCTAATCCAAAAAGAAACCCCCACTAAAATCCAAGACAGAGAACACGAAAACGGCAAAGTCCTCCTCCCATACATAAAAGGCACCACAGACAGAATCAGCAAGATCCTCCACAAACAAAACATCAAGACAGCATTCTGCACAAACAGAAAAATATCCACTATCCTAAGAAACCCCAAAGACAAAATTGAGTTAGAAAATCAAGGAGTATATGAAATCCCATGCACTGCTTGTCCCACCACATACATCGGACAAACCAACAGAAGAATGAGTGCATGCATTGAAGAACACAAGAACTCAGTCAAAAAATAGGAACCAACTTCTTCCCTGGTCCAACACCTTAAAGCCACAGGACATGAAATTGACTTTAAAAAGACCAGAACTATCGCCAAAACTGAACACTTTAATAACAGAATAATCAGAGAAGACATCGAGATAGAAAAACACCCACACAGCATGAATAAATGAGATGATACCTCCCGCCTACCAGCCATTTGGAAACCCTCCCTTATTGACAAATGAGTCCCTAACACAAAGAATGACACCAGACCCACACTCATGAAAACCACACAGGATGTCACCACCACACATCCACGCAAAAAGCAAATCCAATTCCACACCGATGATGAGGCATGACCACAAACTAGAAGCCAGATCACAGCTGCATCATTAGCCACTTTAAACCCCTCCAATCCATACATGAAGCAAACTGACACCCACCATGAAGATGAGGCATGACCACAAACGCGAAACCAAACAACAGCAATGCAGTTCACCATCTCAAATCCCCCTGCAACTCAACTAACCGGAGCACAACAAAGTCCCCACCCAAACAGAACACTCCCCCATCCAATTAGAGCACAGCCAAGCCCCTAACCAATCAGAACACACCTCCACCCAATCAGAACACAGCCAAGTTCCCACCCAATCAGTTCATATCCCCACTGGCAGTTAAAAGGAAGAAACAGCTACGATCACACATTGCTCCTAGAAGCACGAAGCCGAAAACACCAGCCTGAAGATGACGAATGGGACTTCGTCGAAACGTCACCAAGACACTTCCAATTTTACGCGGGAGAAAACCCGAATAACCAAAGACCTACATATAAACACCCGCGAAAACCTCAGAAAACAAATTTATACCACTGCTGTAGTAAACAGTCTGTGTTCAACATAAATTTCCAGTACAATATTGAAGTTAAGCCTGATCACCTATCTCAATAAGGAACTACGATACGTATTTTACACAGTAAAGAATAAGCATACATACAATACTTAGTAACCATTCAAATATAGATACAATTATGAAATAAATAATTACTTTTGAGTAGGTATAAGCCTATGTCCCTTCAGTGGAGACATAAAGATATTGAAATAAAGGTTGTGTGTTCCTTTCTGAAAATAATGTTAGCGTTATTGCTTCTATTCACAATAATAACATATTTTCAGAATTGTCAGGGATTTATGATCTCACTTATTATTAATAAAGCAATGGTGAAACCTCTTTTGCAAGTATCAATGTAATTCCAGAATTGTGAGTCAAATAACATTCATGACATAAGTTGAAAGAAATCTCATTCCTTTCCTGGCTTGTTAAAGGGGAAAATGATGACACCTCTGAAAGATCTCTAGAGGAAAGGAAAGACAGAAACCTAATAGCTTTTGCTTTTGCAGCTTTAAACATCAAATTCAAGACTTCAAGGGCCTCTACAAATGCTACATATTATTAAATAAAATGGGTAACCTTAATCAATCCAGTATATCTTTAGTGGAAGCAGAAAGGTGAAGGCTGAAAAAATATATCAGAGAACCTGAAGTGTATATAGGAAAAGGGCAATTTCAGAATCCTGGGGTCAAATGCTTAGATCCAAATATAATTGCCTTCAAGATATATTTTAGATGTAGAAAACTAGGCAGGATTAAATGAAACGAAAAAGAATTAACGCACTGCTTGAAACCTTGTGACATGTCAAGCTAGGGTCTCCGATGCAAAAAAAAAAAAAAAGGAGAAAAAAATGATATAAAAATATGTATTCTTATAATTAGAAATAGATGAGTCAAATTTTAGACTGAATAGATCATTTCCATATATAAATGATAGAGAATATTTATTCTGTTCTTATCACATTTCAAAGACTAAATCTTGAAAGGAGCAAAAGGAGCAGGAAATTAGGATGTTAATGGAAGACTGAAGTAAATTATTTTTTAAAATCTATTTTATATTCAAAATAGAATCAGGCTTTGAGACTAAAACACATTATATTTATTAAACTATCTTTCTCATGTTAAGTTACTCTTGAAAACACAATTCCTTTTTAAGCAGCAGAGTTGCCAGACCTATCCCTACTGCTAATGGGCAAAATCCAGGACTATTCCACTGTACTCAGTATAATTGACCTTCATGGCATGGACTTTAAACATTGTTAGATCTGGTAGCTTATGAAGAGTTGAATCCAATTCTCACATTCAGATTCAGCGTCCCTTTGCCTACTAAAAAGAACATCAAGTGTCTCCTTACATTAATTTTTCATGTACCTTGGGGAAAGATGTTTGCATTAAAAACAAGGCCGTTGCTGAAGAAAGCATATGTTTTGGCCACAAAATGCCTTTTGCCACACTTTATTTCTATCACTATAAGCATTTAACCACATAGGGATTTAGAAGTTATCCATCAAACCAAGGAAACAAAGATTGTTTCTGTGACCACACATGGAAATAGAAACATCATTTGATTGCGCTCTTGGCTCCTGTGATCACAGCAGGCTCAACAGCTAGCAAAAGGCAAGCAAATGAGACAATATAATGCCCCCATGATACTGACATCTATCAACTTTTGCTTTCACTTCTTATTAAAAACTAAGCAAGTGCCACAGAAAATGATCTTATTAAAAGCTAGAAAAAAATAAGGTTTCTTTTCTTTCGCAAGTCAAACAAGGGCTACAGTGAAGTTTTATATATGTGCCCATGAGTCTGTGTATAAGAATAAATTCAAAGCTAGCATATTTAAAATTAAGATGTATCTGTATTATAAGCACTGGAATGTTAAACATCAGGATTCTCTATATTTCCCATTTCATAAAATTAAAATAGGGACACTTGTGCTGGAGTGGATATAGGCTTTATAACTTACTCTGGAAATTACTTTAGTGAAGGCCAGCATTGGAATGTACTCATATTCTTACTTTGGGGAAATCTATCAGTCACATACTTACTTGACTGTTAGCTGTCTATAGTTTGCAGAATTGCTGGCTCTCTTGCAAGAGAATTCTTTTCCAATTTTGATTCACTTTGGCTTTCAGCCATCCATTGTGTCAAGCTGGTAACCTTCTCTCATGCCATAAGGCATCCCATATCTTCCAGCTCTCCATCACCCCTTTGAATTCCTGACTGCTTATCTGGGTCTTGAAAAGAAAGTCTTACCTTTTCATTTCAGTTCAATAACAGAGCACTGTGCAAATTATTCTACATACTACCATTTCTCCTTTTTTCATTAGTTTTTTTTTTTCATAAACTGGAAAACCAACTGACTGGTTCATCCAAAACTTATCTTCCCCCTTTCTCCTCTCCCTAACACAACATCTAAAGGGGTATGATTTTGCATGTCATTGGGATTAGAGATTTGTTGGCAAGTACAAAATGGATGGAGCTTGTTTGCCATCAGCTACAGAGGTTTTGCCCCAGAAGGTCCCATCTGGTTCCCTCTTGATTAAAGTCTCAGCATGATTTTGATATGTTTCTTCCCTCAAGGAATATAGCTCATTTTAATTTTGGTTTCATTTTTTTAAAAGAATTATACTGTAAATTACTTCAACCCAGTGAAAATTCTAAAAACATGACAGATATACTTACAAGCAGTACTGCAGCACTAGTTCTAGGTACATTGTTTTGGAAGTGATTACAGACAAAAGACTAAAGTGATATCTCTATAGATTTGGGAAACTTTCTCATTGCTTTTGCTACTATCATATATAACGGGTGTCAAACACACAACATCACGTGATGTGTCGTGATGTATCGGAACTTTTTTGCCATTGCCAGCAATGGGGTTTTGCTATAATGCATCTGGCCCGCAGGCCAGCAGTTTGTTACCCGTGACATCAGTAGTGGGATTCAGCCAGTTTGCACCACTTTGGCAGAACCGGTAGCTAATTTTTTTTGTTGCCCAGGCCCAGAATGGACTTCTGGAAACGGCATCCATACAGAGAACCAGTTGTTCAGATATTTGAATCCCATCACATTCAGATATTTGAATCCCATATAAGGATTTCAAGAGATATCCATCTGCAAATTTAGATGTAAAGATCCC